ATGGAGCATGTTGCTGTTGCTGCTGAGGTCGATGAGATGAATATGTTGCTCCGAGATTGAATCCAGCAGACCTCCCCATCTGGGTATTGAAACATGGAAGTATTAAGAGTAAACTCATAAGATAACAAGGACAGGTAATTAAAAAAGAAAAACGATCTAAGACCTACGGAGAAATGCTGAGATTGCATCATTGACATGCTATTGTCGTGAAGTTGTTCTTTTTGGTGCATATCCATTGCATAATCAGCATTACCACCTGGGCAAGATTAATAACATGGTGAACACATACAGTTCCAAATCAACGTGTGGTAACCAGTACAGGTAATATCTGTGAAAGGTACTGGTGGCATTAATAAAAGAAAAATACACTAGACACCAACTAACAACTAATGAAACATCCTAATTTACAAATGCACAAGACCAGAAAGCTTATAATTACATGCCATACAGGCAAGTAGTGACACATTCGCAAAGAAACTGACACCACGAAGGGCATTGGATCTTGATACATATCACAGACACAGCCCACATACCAAAAAGGCCGAGTGCCACAGCCTACATACCAAAAAGCCTGGAGGGGAACAAAAAAAAAAAAAAAACAACAAACAACAAAAAAGTGATACCTAAAAAGGCAAAAAAGATTGCAAAAGAAGCGACCATAGAATTCGCTTAAAAGAAATAAAAATTGCACCATGAACATGAATAAATATTACCGCACAAGGCAGGTATTGGATGGGTCATGTATACAAGTCTTTTGTAGTCCTAACTCCTAATTACTGCAGAAGAAAATTAACTCAATCGAGAACAGTCACCAGCGTAGCATAAAAAGCAATGTCTATGATCTCAGACAAACAAAGACCCTAACAATTTTTTTACCTTAAAATCCTGGAAAATCAAAATAATAAATTGGTGATGGCCAAATAAGCAGAGAATAGATTGGTTATGCAAATAAAATGTGGTCACGGTCGTCGCTATAGAAGAAAAAACATTAGCATGGACGCCTGAGGTGCACGCCTTGAGGCGCGCCTCGTGGCGAGGCGCTAGAAAAGCACCTCCATTCCTACGCCTAGGAGTTTGAGGCGTGCGCATCAGCCGCTTGAGGCGCACGCCTTTGAGCGGCGCCTCAGGCGGTTAGTGAGGCGCACACCTTGCTTGTATAGGATTTTCAGTGGGTTTTTAACCCTAATTGAATTGGGCCCGCCAGCCCCAAAAGCCCAAATACCATAGACTAAAAACATAACCTCTCCCTCTGCAAAATCTTCTCATTCTTTCGCGCCTCTTCCGCCAACCGCCGTGCCTCGTTCTTCTTTGCAACTCCTTCTTCTTTGTACCGACCGCCGACCACCGTGCACCTCCTTCTTCATCGCCGACCGCCGTGCCTCGTTCTTCTTCGTAGCTCCTTCTTCCTCTTCTTCTTCGCAACTCCTTCTTCGCAAGGTTCCTTCTACTCAACTTTTTTTTTTTCATTTTGAAGGCTTACTCGATTATCTATATATTAAAGATTTTTATTCGTATGCATTGATGTTCCTTATCTGTGTTTATGAAAGAAACAGCTATATCCTATATTGTTTGTTTTTCTCTTGTAATTCTAGTTTTTTTTTTTTTTTTTCTGGTTTAAGTTAGGAATTAGGATGAGACCTCCACAAAATGCTAGCGGTAATCATAGTGGGAGACGGGATCCGGCTTGGAAATATGGAAAAGAAATTACATCGGAAAATGACAAAAAGACTTATGTTTACCTCCAATGTGTGTTTTGCAATCAAATTATTAAAGGAGGTGTTAAGAGGATGAAAGAACACCTTGCTTGCACTCATAAGAATGTAAAGCCTTGTCCTAAGGTTCCTGATGATGTGAAGAAATAAATTAATGACTATGAACAAGTGGGCTGTTGAAAAACAGTTAGCGCATAAGAAATTTGAAGAAATGGTGGATGTTGGCTCTTATTATGGTGATGGATTTGTCGACTCTTGTCAATCGCCGCAAGTGGTTAGTGATAGAGGAATTAGAGGTCCCATGGACAGATTTTTGAACAATGTGGATGATAAGGAAGCAAACGAAAGACCTTCCCTTAGAACGACATCAAGAGATAAAGAGGCTCGTTCTCGAGTATGTCTTGACATTGGTAGGTTCTTTTATGAAAATGCACTTGCTTTCAATATTGCTAGGAGTCCCTCATATTTTAATATGTGTAGATCAATTGGAGACTATGGTAGAGGTCTTGTACCCCCAAGTATGCATGAGCTTAGAACATGGATTTTGAAGGAGGAAGTACTTACCACTGAAAAATTTGTGGAGGCGGATAAAATGACTTGGAAACAAACAGGTGTTTGATGTTTCTATTTTATCTGATGGCTGGTCGGATGCTAGAAATCGAGGTTTGATCAACTTTTTAGTCAACAATCCTCATGGAACTATTTTCTTGAGATTTGTTGATGTCTCTGATAAAAAGAAAGATGCAAATCTATTGTTTGAGATGCTTGACGAGATTGTTGAAGAAGTTGGGGATGATCTTGTTGTTCAAGTTGTGACTGACAATGCAAGTGCTTATAAGGCTGCTGGAGCAAAACTAATGGAGAAACGAAAACACTTATATTGGACTCCTTGTACTGCTCATTGCATTGATTTGATCCTTGAGAAACTAGGAGAATTGCCACAACATAAAAGGGCTTTGGTGAAAGCAAAAAAAAATTAGCAATTATGTGTACAATCACCATTGGGCGTCATTGATGAGAAAGTTTACCAAAAGGGATCTTGTTCGACCTGCTGCAACAAGATTTGCTACTGCCTATTTGACTTTGGAGTGCATCTATAGACTAATGCAGCATCTACAATCTATGTTTGTATCGGAAGAATGGAACAGTAGTTCATATGCAAAGAAACCGGATGGGAAAGAAGTGAAAAAGATAGTCATGAAGGATAATCAGTTTTGGGCTGCTGTTGGGTATGTTCTTAAGACTACACAACCCATAGTGGAGGTGTTGAGGGTAGTCGACTCTGAAAAGATGCCCGCCATGGGATTTATATATGGGGCTATGGACAAGGCAAAAGAGAAAATTGCTAAAAACTTGGGAGGTGAAGAGAAAGACTACAAGGAGATTTGGGAGATCATTGACGAAAAGTGGGATTTTCAGTTGCACCAACATTTACATGCCGCGGCATACTACTTGAATCCAAGGATTCGAATACTCCGATAATCCTTCCATCAATCCTGAGATCAAGCTTGGTTTGTTGCATGAATAGGATGTTTAAGGACTCAAATGATCTAGAGAAGGCCGACCTCCAACTAGATGAATTTCAACAGAAGAATGGGTTTTTTGGCCTTCGTCAAGCTCAAAGATGATACATGAAACGCAATCCTAGTAAGTAGAAACTACCTTATTAATTTTGACTAATAAAACAATTTAGATTGTTTGACTAATTATTTTCATCTCAATTTTAAATTCAAATGATTGGTGGTCCCAATTTGGAGATGGTACCCCAGAGTTGCCATCTGATGATGAATGGATAGCCATAAATGAAAATGAAGGCGAAATTCAAACAGAGGAAGCAATTGACAATCTTGACATTGATCTTTTTGAGGATGAAGAAGGTACTAGTACTAGTACTAGAGCTCAAAAAAGCTCTAAAAAGAAGAGGACAAGTTAGTGGCAAGATATGCCATATGAATTATTAGTTGTCTTTTCTATTATTTACTCTAATTATCATATAAGAGATAGTAACTTAAGTTTAATTTTTATTATTAGGTGATATAGGCAAGGAGATCGTGCAAGAGGATGAAGAAGAAGAGTGGATAGACTGTGATTCTGACACTAACAGTCAAGAATTCGTGGACAATGAGAGATTTAAATTGGCTAATGCTTCTCTTAGTAGTGATGATGATTATTGATTGATGACTTGGGAGATTAGGCTTTTAAAAGTGCATTATGATCCTTATGATATTAGGATTTGATAATTATTTAGTAATTATTTAGTCTTTATGTGGATATTTAGTTAAATTTCTTGATTTTAATGATTATTAAGTATGGATTTAGTTTTTGTTACTATTTTTTTTTTTTTCTAAATTTTTTATAGGCAGTTTTTGAGGCTTGCGCCTCAAAGCGCCTTGAGGCTTACGCCTCGCCTCGTAAAGGCAAAACGCCTCGAGACCCGATTCCGCCTTTTAAAACCTTGATTGCACCTTTTAAGTCCTGAAAAATCAGAATTATACTGGGCACGAGAGGTAAAAGATTGGTTATGGGAAAAAACACGGTCATCTCCAAAAGGAAGAAAAACATTAAAATATAGAACAGCACAGTATAAAAGCAACATATATAATGCAAGATAACTAGCCAAACACTTCTCACTCTAAAGACCTAAAAAATCCTAATTAACCACACAAGGCAAGTACTATATGCACACAAGGCAGGCAATATATTCGTGAGAGAAACAAAACAAGACAGTTACGATCAGAATTATGGTAGAAGACAAACATTAAAGTGGATAACTGTCCCCACTCCCCACGTAATGTAAAATGTATCGTGCATATAAAAGATGAACACGAGTGTTTGTACCTTTAAATCCTGGTAGAGCAGGGAAATCCTCATTTTGGATGCTGAACTCTTGGTTTTGTTGAACTATAGGACTAACACCAAGGCCTTGTTTTCGTAGTGAACCTGGAATTATTGCATAAAATTACCTTCCCAATAGCAATTGCCGTACCATTGCTAAAATAAATTATATGTGTGACTGTGTGTGCGCGTGTAATTACGAGTGTGTATTATTGCATAAAATTACCTTTCCCAATAGCAATTGCCGTACCATTGCTAAAATAAATGATATGTGTGACTGTGTGCGCGCGTGTAATTATGAGTGTGTACTCATACGTATGTATATATGTATGTATATTAGAAGAAACAACCTTTCAATAATAACAATAAAAAAAATTAAAAAAGAAAAATCAATTGGAAAAATCATTGCAATGGACATGAGAACAAGAAGTCTGACGTAATTTTTGAACTTACCAAGTTGTCCTTGAGGTCCTCCAGCAGAACTAGGACGACTCGACAACTGGGGAAAATCATTTATGTCAAAAGGCAAGCTGTCATTCGAATTTACATCATTCAACATACCCATAGAGCTTAGATTATTAACTGCTTGGACATGACTTTGAGAAAGTGGACCTCCCGCTGTAGGATAAGAATTCCCTAGCATAGAAATCACCTGTGGAGATCCTGAATCAAGAAAATATCATCAGCAAACAATACATAAATCTTGAATCCAGAAAATGTCATCTGGCAACGCTCAGAATACTGGGAAAGAGAAGATATTGGAAGATTCAAGAAACATGCTAGATTCTTACAGATATATGCCAGAATAAGCAAAATGAAATACAACACATAATTATAACTAACAACTGTCTCAGAGCATAGCATCAAATAATACTCGGATATAAATGGAAATTGGACTAGATTGCTTTACAATATCCTAAAAATTTAAATCAGGATCGTGCTCAACCACTTATCAAGCTATTGATTTACCAGTTAAAATCAAGTCACCCAGCAAAGCCCAAATTAAGCAAAATAGTCAACAACATGCCTTATGCAGATAGCAAGGTCCGCTATCACTAAAAAATCACCACATATAATTTAGTCAAAATTGGAACTTAGATTGGATTCTTCTCAATGTTTACAGGTCATTAAATCATAAAATTGTGACAGGATAGCTAATTTAAATACATGCCTTTGAAGCACAAGCTTTCCTTGTTGCACAACGTGGAACACTTAATATCTACCAGGCAATAGAAATACTTATCGACACTATATCTCAGCCTCTACATAAATTCTCTTTCTTAACATTTAGAGTGAACGGCAGGGTACCTTGTGGAAGCACACCACTTAGCAATCTATTTTGCCCTTGAACACTTAAACTTCCAGATCCACTGTTTGCACCAAAATTAAGTCGAGAAGCAAGACCAGGCACTGATAACCCTCCAGCGGAGCTAATACTCCTACCAATGTTGCCCATGTTCCCCATAGAACTTGTAATCCTAGGTCCTGCATTTCCCAAAATTGGGGATACTCCCAATCCTGGAACAGCATTTCGGTTACCAATTGCAGCAGAGGTAGGCAGAATACCAGGAATAGAACCACCAACTCCATTTGTGCTACTACTAAATCCAGGGTTTCCTACAACACTTATACCTCCTCTGTTTGAGACACCCGAATGACCATGGGAGCTTCCATGTGATAACTGAGAACAAAAATGAAGAAATCAAATACGGGTGCAAGTTAAAATGTACAAAGATGGGAGACATGCAGAAAGAACATGCGCTGGTATCAGTAACAAAACAGTATTCAACAATGCCAAATTGGATACCTGAGAGAGAGCAACAGGAAGATTATTTGATGCAAACCGTCCACTAGAAAGGCTTCCAGTAGGCTGTTGAACACCGCCGGATGGTACGTTATTCATTGTTGTGTTTCTTGATGTAAGCGTACCTGGTATGTTGGGAACATTAAAGCTCCCGTGAAGGTTATGAAGTGTCTGTATACTTCCTGCCAAAAGAAACTTGAACTTCAGAAATTTTGAAAAGTACATAAACGTGGAAGCAAGCAGTTTATACCCACCTGTGTGATGAAAAACAGGAGATCCAGCACCAGACTGACCCGAGAAAGATGTGGTAAAAGATCGCCCATTATTGTCTGGGAGATTTGATGCCGATCCGTTTATCGATGACTGGCCAAAAGCAGATCAAATTTCACTATGGATAGCTACCATAGCAAGTTAAAGATAAATGCAAAGGATCATTTAAGGTTTATCCATATATAATGCCGTGTATTCCCAGCAACAATGCTTTCAACATGCAAAATTAGTTTACGCACATATGTTTTTACCATTGTCACAGATGTAATATTGAAAACACTGTTGATCTAGGCCATAGAGTATAGACATTATGCAAGAAATTCTTTGACAAGAATAAATCAATAAATAGTAACTAAAACATGCTATGAATAGTTCGTGTCCAAGAAATGACATGCACAAAAATAAATCATAGTTCAAAGAAAACGAATGCAAGACAAAGTTTAAGTGACAAAATACTATGTTTAAACAAAGCCCGTCTATAAAAAATGATGGAAAAATAAATCGTAACATTGAAAACAGTAAATGGCCACAATATAAACCTTGTTAAATCAATCAAATTACATCAAGAAGGAACATACATTTAGCAAACCCGACATCGCATGAGAATTAAAATGTCATGCAAAAAATCATTCCTTGCTGGCAAATGGCCTTCCTCAGTCTTATGCGTCAAAAGATAGGAGATAAATTTGAAACACTCTTGAATTTTCAACCTATAACCTGAAAAAGACACCAAAATCGTGAGGGACAATCCCGAACATCCAGAAAGACGAATAGTTGCAAGCGCAAGCGTAAAACCATATTACTGAAAAAAAAAAAAAAGCAAACCCTAATATGAACCCAAAATCGGATTACACGGTTTACAGAAGAAGAAAACAAAAATCTAAATCAATTCCGATTGAGATAACCCCACGCTACTACCATTACACAAAATCAAAACAAAAATTCCCTAATTCGAATTCACGTGCCAGAAACCCCAAACTCACTCGAGAAATTCAAAATGGACAAAATTCCCAACCCTGAATAAAAAATCCAAAAAAAACAAAAAAAAAAAAAAAAAAAAAAAAAAAAAAAATCATCAATCAGAGATCGAAAACCGAAGGAAAAAATAATCCAACCTTTACGAGGTGTGGCGAAAAGGAAGAATGAGAGGCGAGCAGATCTGGCGATGGAGTAGTGGGGTTAGGGTTTACAGTGATATACGAAGAAGCGGAATAGAGTGAAGAAGGCAGAGAGAGAGAGAGAGAGAGAGAGAGAGAGAGAGAGAGAGAAGGGATTTCGAAGAAAATTGTTTTTGTGAGTGAATATTATTGGGGTCGAGAAGATTTTTCTTTTACATCAGAAAACGATCTTAAAAGAAAGGAACGCGGTGGTGGTGAAGGAACACCCAATAGGATGTTTTTTTTATATATTTTTTTTCTTTTTATTTCTTTTTGTTTTTGTTTTTTTCCCTTAAAAATCATTATCATTTATTAGAGGAATTTTGCTATTTTCATTTAAGGTGAATTTAAAATCAATAATATTTTTTTTATCCTATTTATTTTGCCTAAATTACAAAGACACCTAAATAAATAATGTCAACTCCCTTGTCTGTAACTATATCAGGTCTAATGAAAAATGACTAAATACCCAATCAAATCTCAGCCAATGATCTAGACGTGCCTTAATCCTTAAATTTTTCACAAACCAAATGTCTAATAAACCCTCACAATTACTAGTAGACTAAAACCCAAATGTTCCAGTATTGGCAACTGCAACCCTCATTTCTAGCGTCCCACCCAACAATGTCGCCCCTTCTCACTCGAGCTCAACCACAACCCCTTCTCGGAACAAGTCCAGCTGTGAAACCACCCACCCACGACGCCAAGCCGCCATTGTCCCCATCTCTGTTGGTGAGCCTACCTCGCGCCCCTTTCAACCTATGCGAGCCCAACCGCGACTATGCCCCTACAGTGCAAAACCACCCCGTGCACGCCAAGGTGATGTTTGTTTTAAGAGTTTTGTCTGGTTTAATATCATGATTTGTGCTTCTGTTATAGTGTTTTTCTCTCACAAAAAAAATTTAATTTTAAAAATCAGAATTATGAACCATAGTTCTGAACCCATGAACCAAACGTCACCTAAGTAATCCAACACCTTCCCAATGCGAGCACAAAGTGTGCATGCCCAAGTGTAACCTCCCCGCCACGAGCACAAGCAACGCCCCCACTCCTGCCTTGAGTCTAGGCACCCTCGAGATCCTTTCGATGACCTATGTTGTGTTGAAGGGATATCTATATGATCTGATATGATTCGATCGATTGCGTAAAGCCCGCAGTAGCAACGTAACTGAGGAAAGTATACAGAAAATACAATTTTTTTCTATTATATTAGCATTTTTTTATTCTATTTGTTAGTCATCTCGGCTCAGTGAGTCCTTTCCGTGATGAACTATTGGCAACAGTCCTACATTTTGTCTCTATGGACCGAGGAGAAAGGGGGTTCCGCAGGAAAGGATTGTAACATAAGAGAAGCAAGGGGGTCAACCTTTTTCAAATATACAACATGGATTCTGGCAATGTAGTTGGACTCTCATGATGGACTCCCTCCCCATCATGAGTTACATAGATTCACCACCCCATTGGCAAGCCCACAGTATCATTTCTCCTTAGAATGTGATAACGACAATTTTTATATAATAAATAATGTAATATTTGAATTAATATCTTAAACTTTTTAGAACTTATTGTTTAAAAAATTAACATTGAACCATGGGGTGTTTGTCGGAATAGTTAATGCTTTGTTTGTTTTGAGGGTTCTGGTTTGATTTAAGATCATGATTTTCAGTTTGATACAGTGTTTTTCTCTCACAATAAAAATCAGAATCATGAACCATAGTTCTAAACTTATGAACCAAACGTCACATAAGTCTTTGGTTTGCTCCCATAAGGTCCAGGGTTCGAACCACTTTCCCGAGCACTAACATTACAAAATTCATAGTTTCTTACCTTCTACAAAAGCATAGTTTGACAGAAGGCTCCAATTTTAAACTCGGGCTTATAAATTGTAGAGTTTGGCAGGAGGTTCCAATTTTAAACTTGGGCTTACAAAGTGAGTTCGAGGAATTTTTTGGAGTAACCAGTCCAAAAATATCTTAGAAGTACTTTTCAAATAATTTTTAAGATCAAACAACTCTTTTTATTTTTCAGAGGGGGTATGAGTTAAATTAAAATTTTGGACAAACCAATAATGTAATAGATACTAAAATTATCATGATTTTTTTTTTGGCTGCTTGCCTCTTTATTTTGTATTTCTATTAATCTATACTCGCGCTTGTATACAAACAAATAATTTTTTAAAACATTTTGCATAAAAGTTTGAAATTAGAAAATTTCAGGAAGACAAAGTAAAGATTTTTCTAAAATATTATCCCTGATGCTTAGGCATGTGACACCCAATTGCCAAATTCTATTAAGAAAACTAAAAAAAATTTAGGAAATGATTATTCATATAATCATCGCCCAATTTAAAACCTCTGAATGGGAGAAAATTGATACATTGTGAAATGCGAGGCTTTTGTTGCCCAGTCCATTTGCATTTCAAGTGTGTAAAAAGCTTCATGTTGTCATTAGTTCCTGAATTCTTTTCTGTTAAATCTCTTAAGAGACGTTTGGTTCATAGATTAGAATCATTTTCAATTTACGTGTATTTTTTGTGAAAGAAAATACTGTAATGAACCACGAACCATGATTCGAATCAGGAAACGAATCTAGGTACCAAACATCCCCTTATCATCAATGTTCTTTGAATTCTTTTCGTACCACCATTCATCCCTGAATTCTTATTTTGCGTTGTCATTTGCCCATAAGTACTAACACTGATAAACTTGGGAGTGAATATAAAGTTTTGTCTATTTAATTAAAAGAAAAAAGTTCAGCAAAACGTAATACCTATGTATTGAAATTAAGTTAAAATTAATTCGAAATTTTCTACCTAGTATTAACTTTGGTAATTTGTAGCCAGCTCGTGTCAAAACTCAAAACTACTTGCGATATTATTCCACCAATTAATTCATTTTATACAATGCGGGTTCGAACCCGTGTCATTCCAAATCTAAGCCCCACCCGGCCGTACCCATATCATTTGATCCAGTAGTGGTCATTGGTCCCCAAATAGAGTGCTTTATTAAGAAAATTAGTTGAACATTTAACACATTAGATGCTTTTAAAACTCGTTTTAAAATGATTTTATTTTTTTATATGAAAATAAAAATGAAAACGTTTTCAATTTCAAACAGAAATCATTTTTAAAAATGCGTTTGGTAATTTTTTCAAGAGATTATTTTCAGTATAAAAAAATCTAAAAAATCATTTTCATTTCTGGTTTTAGTCTTTAATTGTGCCAAACGTTATTTCTCTACCGTTTTCATTTTTTCTTTCTAAAAAAACGTGAAAAACAAAAACAACGTGAAAAATAAAAACGAAAACAACTCCAAACACAGCAATTATTTCTTTCATCCTTTCTGGGAGGAGCGTCTAACGATAGATAAACTGAACAAAGCAAGCTCTGCAAGTCTCAACCTTGGAGGAGAGAAAACCCTCCCAGTAATAAGGACTCGAATCAAAGAAAGCGTCAAAGAACCTCCGCATCTCATTCAGATCAAGCTTCAACATGGTTTTCCATTCCAAAACAATCTCCTTTCCAATGGCCATAAACTGTTCCACACTTTATATCGAAGTGGCTTTCCTCTGACCATCTTTGGTCAAGCCAAGGCCCTTGGAATTGCATCGGATAGCTCCGAGGATAAAGCCATGGTTCGAGCTAACATGTAGCCAGTTGAAGGGTCTCATTCACAGAATTAAACCTTTGCTAAATTTGGGGAGTAACTTGCAAACGCTTGCCAATCGTTAAGCATTCAGGGGTAAATGTGCAAAATACCCGAAAATTTTATCCATACATGGAGTAGAATAGAGAATAGACATACACCAGTTGAACAAGAAACAAAACTGTTAGTTTACCAATCCATCCCAAAAGCTTAAACTATTAAGAGGCGGGTCAACAATAATTTTTATACTTTAACACTCCTCCTCACATGTGGGCTAGACAATGGGCAATCGTGTGAGTAAATTAATTAGAAAGCCCAACACGTGAATATTTAAAGCCCGAGATATATTAAAGACCCAACACATGATGATAATTTTAAATGGGGATAAAGAGTGCAATTACGGGAATTTAAACTCAGGACCTCTCGCTCTGATACTATGTTAGTTTACCAATCTATCCCAAAAACTTAAGCTATTAGGAGGTGAGTCAACAATAATTTTTATACTTTAACAAAAACCAAACCCGTCCACTTGATATATTAATACAAAACGAAGTAATTATTTATTGATACAACATAATATACCAAATAGCCGCGCACTTTCAAAGAATACCAGAGATGGCATGCAATATTGCGGAAACAACTAACCAAGCTTCCCAAAAGAAATAATTGCTATTCACCCAAGCACAAACACGTCAAGACAAATCTACAGACATTTTTGGACCCTTAAATGTACAGATATTATATTCCCATGTGGACCTTAAAATTTTGGATGATCAAGCAACTGAAAACCACTGTTATAAACTGACGTATATCATCTCAAAAGTCATTGTTGCACACCTTCTGCAGAGATTTAGACACCCCCGAGATGATGACCAGTCAAGATCTGCAGGAAGGTAGGGTGATGCCGCCACAGGCAGCAGCGATGATTATGTACAGCAACAGAACTATCAGGCATGTCAAGAGGGCCCTGTATCAGGTTAAACGCGAAGTTATAACTACTCAAGTCAAACTGCACCAGGGCTACTCAAAATTCATATTAAACACCGAGGCAAAGTGGCTGCCATCAATCAGTTCATGTTCACTACATGATGCGTATCACTTAACTATTAAAGATAACTGCAAAAGAAACGGTCATTTTTTTCAACCATAAAAAAATGCAATCCCCACATACACACACGCGCGCGCGTGTAAAGTTTGATCTGAAGATACTTACAATAGCTTGGCGTTTTTCATCCAAAGAGCTCGTCGGAGACGCTTAGACTGTTTCTTGAAGTGAAATGCACCATCTTGCATTGTTGCCGTTTTGTCAACGAGAAGCTCTATCCGGTCTCCTCTCTCCAATATTTTTTCTATGTTATCAACCATTATAGTTCGTACCTAATAGCAGAAATAAGTGCTTGTGAGAAGAAATATTAGAACTATGGCTGCCCAACCTAACAAGATGAAAAAATTCCAGCGATAGCACAACCAAAAATAAAAATAAATTTAGAGATGGTATGAACTCGACAGAATCTTATGTACAAATAGCATGTATAAGATTAAGCAGTCAACTAACAATGAAACACAACCATTTACTAGTTGATGGTGCTCCAAATATTGGGCATTTTGAAGAGAAAAGTTTTTTGAGGCTTGTGGTGAAATTTGAGACACAATTATAGATAACCTTTTCGTACTACTGAACATTATGCTTATACAAAATAATCCAACCCAACCCCCACCTTCAACTCAACCACCATTCAGTTGAAACTTGTACATGCCGGCAGTCAAGTCAACCCCATGGCGGTTGTTCTTTCGGCTCTCTCTCTTCTTCCAGATCTGACTCTCTTTGCCACTCTAACTCTCCACTTCCTTACACTAATGGCTCTCTCTCTCTACTCTTCCTCCATTGCACAAACTCTCTCCTCTGTCTCCATTAAAGCTTTTTGTCACCTCAAGCATTTGTTTATCTTCATTCTTTGCCCAAGCTTTCCATCTCCTCTAATTAGAGTTCTCTCTCACCTCTCTTTATCTTCACCTAACACAGGTTATCAAATCTTAAAGATGTTTTAATTTCACTTTTGAAAACCAAATTGCGTTACCTTGAGACTTTCAAACTTAGTTTGGTTAACAATAAATTTGTAGAAAATCTTTCTCAAAAAGATAAATTAAGAATAGTAGAAAATCTGTCTGAATGGGGGGCTGGAGGAAAGAGAATCCTGATCACAAAGGAAGAACATAATTGTCTTTAGGAAACAATACCTAAGAGGAGAATTTTCGATTAGGCTGAAATATTTTCTGTTTTTCATGAGCTGAAGAAAACTGTCTATGTTAGCCACAAGTCTGGGGAAAGGAGAACTGGAATAAGTTGAAAGTAGTTTAAAACTTTGCCAATACGAGTCCTTCAAATATCAATTTCAACAGCTGACCCCAAATCTTTTAGATGAAGACCTAGACAAGTTGAGTTTTGGAAAGAAAATATACACATGAAATAAAAGTTTAACCGGATGCTCAAATATTGTGTTTTTCCTCTCTGACTATCTATTCAAGGAAGTTCCTAACAATACATTAGCATGCCAAGTTATATAGCCACACTTGATAACCACAACAAGAATAATCAACAATAAATAGATGTGGAAATTCGGTGTTTAAATTACTAGAGTTAAGTTAGCCTTTTGGTTTCTAAAAATGAAGAGATTCGGATAGTGACTTACCTGATCCTCTCATTTATTTTTCTTGTTTATTATCTTTACTAGGATTAGAGATATTGTTTTAGTTTATCAGTTCCTTGTTTTGAGGAATCGATTGGGATATCTCCTCATATTTAAACTTATTTTCGTTATTCATTATTCAATGAGAAATATTCTAGTTCTTTCTCAATTTTTCACATGGTATCGGAGCCTTCCAAAAATCCCTCTCTGATGACCAAATACGAAATGGCCACCGAGAGGCAGGAGTCATCATCTGAAGTCACTTCAGGTTCTGGAGTCTCGAACCCTAGCACCTATGGCGTTGCAGAAGGCGTTCATCTTCCCATTACAGGGCACAAACTGAATGGGAACAATTATCTTCAATGGTCTCAGTCCGTTATGATGTACATATGCGGAAAAGGGAAGGACGAATATCTCACAGGCAAGATCATCCCTCCAAAGGAAGGGGATCCCACATTCAGACTTTGGAAAAGAGAACAATATGGTCATGTCATGGTTAATAAATTCAATGGACCAACGAAATAGGTGAGAATTTTTTGCTCTATAGCACTACACATGAAATATGGGATGCGGCTAAAGAATTTTACTCGAGTAAGGAAAATACCTCAGTAATTTTTGAGATCGAAACTACAATCCATGACCTTCGACAAGGAGATCTTTCTGCCACCCAATTCTACAATATCCTCACTCGTAATTGGCAACAATTAGACGTATTTGAGGACTCTAAGTGGGACTGTCCCGGGTGATGCAAAAAGGTTCAGAAAAATCGTGGAAAAGAATAGAATATTCAAGTTCTTGATGGGGCTCAACAAGATCTTGGATGAAGTTCGAGGAAGAATATTAGGGACAAAACCCCTACCAAGCATCCGAGAAGTTTTTTCTGAAGTGCGCAGAGAAGAAAGCAGGAAAAAGGTGATGCTCGGGGAATCATCCATCAGTGCTTCGATCACGGATAACTCATATGCCCTAGCTGTTCGAGGAGCCCAGAACACCAACTACGACAATCGGCAGAAGAAGGGGAGACCATGGTGCGATCATTGCCGAAAAACAGGACACATCCGTGAGACATGCTGGAAGCTACATGGCAAACCTACAAATTGGAAACCTTCAAGACCAGCTACGGACAAAGATAGCCGCGGAAATCATGTTGCAGTTGAAGAAGGAAATTCTACTTCCTCGGAATCCAATCCTTTCAACAAGGAACAGCTTGAACCCCTACAAAAGATGTTCTTACAAGCAGCAACTGCTCAGGGTAACATTGGAAACGGATCTTTGGCACACAAAGGTAATTACTTGAGTGCTCTTTCTGTTGATTCCGAAAATAAGGACACATGGATAGTAGACTCTAGGGCATCTGATCACATGACAGGAGACAGAACTATGTTCCATCATTACAGACCATGTCAAGATAATCTTACAATAAAAATTGCTGATGGATCACTCGCTAAAGTGGCTGGAACAGGGTCTATTATTCTCTCAGAAACCCTAGAGTTGAAGAAAGTATTTCATGTTCCTAATCTGGACTGCAATCTTTTATCAGTGAGTAAACTCTCTCAAGAAATTAATTGTGTTGCTAAATTCTCCTCGGATTTGTGTGAATTTCAGGTTTTGGATTCGGGAAAGATGATTGGCAGTGCTAGGGTAAGCTTGGGACTTTATCTTCTCAAAGTTGACAGACCTCCTAGAAGACAAACTCATACTATAAGCTTAGTATCTGTTGAAAACACCAATAAAGATAGTGCAATCATGTTATGGCACTATCGTTTAGGTCATCCAAATTTTTTATATATCGAAAAATTATTTCCTTCTTTATTTATCAATAAAAATCTAAAGTTGTTTCAATGTGAAGTGTGCCAATTCTCAAAACATGTTCGTAATTCTTACCATATTCAGCCATACAAAGCATCTCATCCTTTTTCCATGATTCATAGTGATGTATGGGGGCCATCTAGAATAAAAAATATTACTGGTACAAGGTGGTCTGTGTCCTTTGTTGATGATCATACAAGAATCACCTGGTTTGTTTCTCATGAAAGAAAAATATGAAGTTGGGCAAATTTTTAAAAATTTCAATACTATGATTCAGACACAATTTGCCACAAAGATACAAGTGTTGAAGACTGACAATGCAAAAGAATATTTTGAGACAACTCTAGGAGAATAACTTGGGAGCCAGGGCATTATTCACCAAAGTTCTTGTGTTGACACACCCCAACAAAACAGGGTGGCAGAAAGGAAAAACAAACACATTCTAGAGGTTGCCTGTTCTCTCATGTTCACTACCCATGTCCCAAAATATTTCTGGGGAGAGGCTGTTTTAACAGCCACTTACCTAATAAATAGAATGCCTTCCCGAGTCTTGAAGTTTCAAACACCATACTGTGTCCTTCAATTTTTTCCCAATACCCGTGTCCTAATCACTCTGCCTCCTAAAGTATTCAGTTGCTCAGTGTTTGTCCATATTCATGCCCAACACCGAAGCAAGCTTGATCCTAAGGCTCTCAAATGCATATTTTTAGGATATTCGTCACACCAAAAAGGGTATAAGTGTTATTCTCTGACTACTCGAAAATTCTACAACTCCATGGATGTCTCTTTCTTTGAAACTCAACCCTTCTATCCCAAAACTGATATTCAGGGTGAGAATTTTACTCAAGAATACCAGCTTTGGGATATTGATGCATTAGAGTCACATGATGGTCATAACACAAATCCACTCGAGTCATCCCAAGCATCCCAAACACAAATCGAGTTTGACACTCAAACTCCAAATCCAGTCCAACCCGAGTATGACACTCAAGCCCCTCATAGTTCCACTCCAACTTAGCCTGCAGAAACTAAAGAGTTACGTGTCTATACTAGGAAGAATAAGACTCAAGAAGATAAAGCACTACAGCCAACTCATCACGGCCATGAATCCAACCCGGGTCTGGAATTGCAAAACCCACCAGGTAACACTAGTCTTGAAATTGCTCCTAATAATCAGCCTGATGAAGATATTGATGATAGACCCATAGCCTTGAGGAAAGGCACACGGTTATGTACTAATCACCCCATTTATAATTTTATTTCATATGGAAAATTGTCCTCCAATCACCGCGCCTTTGTTAGCAATCTATACATGAGGCTCTTCTTATACCACAATGGAGGAGGCAATTTTGGAAGAAATCCGAGCCCTAGAGAAGAATGGAACGTGGGTAATGTCTGAATTACCATCAGGAAAACGTCCTGTAGGATGTAAGTGGATATTCACTATCAAGTATAATTCAGATGGGAGTGTCAACAGATATAAAGCTCGTTTGGTTACTAAGGGTTTCACACAATCTTATGGGATTGATTACCAGGAGACATTTGCACCAGTAGCTAAACTTAACACTATTCGAGTACTACTCTCACTAGCATCTAACCTTGACTGGCCTCTCTATCAACTGGATGTGAAGAATGCATTCCTCAACGGGGATCTTGAAGAAGAAGTGTACATGAAAATTCCTCCTGGACTTGAAACTCCGACTAATACCAACAAGGTATGTAAACTCAAGAAGTCTTTATATGGACTTAAGCAGTCACCAAGAGCATGGTTCGACAGGTTTACTAAGGCAATAAAAAAGGTTGGGTACAATCAGTGCCAGACGGATCACACCGTGTTTGTTAAGCAATCACCATCAAAGAAGAAAGCAATACTTATCGTGTACGTCGATGACATCATCTTAACTGGGGATCATGATGAAGAAATTCTAAAACTCAAAAGCTTTCTAGCTAAGGAGTTTGAGATCAAAGATTTGGGCAATCTAAAATATTTCCTAGGAATGGAAGTAGCTCGATCCAAGAGAGGTATTGCGGTTTCTCAACGGAAGTATGTACTAGATCTCTTGAAAGAAACAGGAAAGCTAGGGTGTAAGCCTGCTGACACTCCTATGGACCCTACGGCAAAATTGGGAAGCAAAGATGATAGTGCGCCCGTTGACAAAGGAAGATATCAAAGGTTAGTCGGAAAACTTATTTATCTGTCTCATACCAGACCAGACATCAGTTTTGCTGTAAGTATGGTAAGCCAGTTCATGAACAGTCCAATGGAAGAACATATGGAAGCGGTGTATAGGATTTTGAGATACTTGAAAATGACACCAGAACAGGGTATGTACTTCCAGAAAACAGCAAACAGGGAAGTTAGAATATTTACTAATGCAGATTGGGCAGGGTCTGTAACTGATCGAAGATCAACCTCTGGATATTGTAGTTTGGGGTAATTTAGTTACTTGGAGAAGCAAAAAACAGCAGGTGGTGTCCCGAAGCTCAGCAGAGGCAGAATTTAGAGCCCTTGCACACAGAATTTGTGAGGGAATTTGGTTGAAACGAGTACTTTACGAGCTGGGAATCCCTATTCCAGGAACTATGAAGGTGTTATGTGATAATCAATCAGCTGTCAGTATAGCCAAGAATCCAGTACACCACGATAGAACCAAGCATGTGGAAATCGATCGACACTTCGTTAAAGAAAAGCTCGAGAACAACACCATATCACTCCATCATGTCCCTACATGTCAGCAAACTGCAGACATCCTTACTAAAGCCTTGCCTAGGAAGACGTTCGAAGACCTTGTCTCCAAGCTAGGATTAACAACTTAGCTTGAGGGGGAGTGTGGAAATTCGGTGTTTAAATTACTAGGGTTAAATTAGCCTTTTGATTTCTAAAAATGAAGAGATTCGGATAATGACTTACATGATCCTCTCATTTATTTTTCATGTTTATTATCTTTACTAGGATTAGAGATATTGTTTTAGTTTATCAGTTCCTTATTTTGAGGAATCGATTGGGGCATCTCCTCCTATTTAAACTTATTTTCGTTATTCATTATTCAATGAGAAATATTCTAGTTCTTTCTCAATTTTTCACAATAGCATAGAACAATATGAGTTTAATAAGATTAAGCAATTCTTTCAGCACGTTGAAGCATCAATGTTTTCCTAAAAAGAGGAGCGGTTATCAAAAGCACATGTCCACTCAAGATGAGACGGTACATGAAAAGCTAAGAAGAAAATTGAACAAACTGCAACAAACCATAAGATACTTGCCTCACCAACTTCGCCTCTCAGACGATTGAGGGTATCTGCATTAGGATTGCTGGAGAAGAATTCCATTTGTTGATGCAAGACCCTTGAAAACTCATCATTCATTGCATAAGCAGGTGCATAATGGGCTACTTTGCCATAATTTTTCATGAATCTCATATGAATATCTTCCAAATATGAGAAAGGTATTCTCCCTGCATAAAGGAAAGAGATAATATACTGTAAATCTACAACAGTGGAAATAGGTAAAAGATATAAGCATATAAGAAGCTTAATAGGATTTAAAAAATAAAAAATAAAAAAAAGAAAGAAAGAAAGCTCAATAGGAATGTTTAACACCTAGGTTGAAAGTGTCAGAGATCCTAAACTATTAGCTAAGTATAGCTACTAATTACAGTGGCAATTTTAAGTTGTCGCATGGATATGAAAATAAGAGTATTTCACAAAATCCATAAACAGCCTAGTTGATTTGACAAAGCAGATGGAGGTCATAATCAGCAGACTTGACCCTCACAGCCCCATGCCCATAAAACAGGACATGTCTATTAATTACAGTAAGAAAAGTTTACACTTCTTTTAAAAAAACTTTTTGTAAGAAAAATGAAATGTTTAGGAGTTATAAGCAAAAAAGTTTCAAAAAGGAGAAATCCTCATCAAATGCAAAAAGAACTAACCTAGCAAACACAAATCAGAAACGATTCCTCCAGCTCAACCTAAATAAATAAGGTTAAACAATACCCCTAAAAAGTAAAGACTTTCAACAAATAAATCTAAACTCTAATGTTAATTTCGTCCCAAACAGCTCTGTAGACTCCAATCTTAAAAAATAAATTCTATTGATTTCTATCCAGCCACGTTATCTAAGACATTGCTATTTTAGCACATTTTCATATAGCAAGGTACCTAACTTGTTGCAAAATCCACAGCAACAAAATCCTCTATCCTTTCTGATATAATCCATTCCAACTGACCTCATATTAGCCCGATGAAAAACCACAACAGAGGAATAGATGATCAATAGTTTCAGCATTTTTCTTGCACAATAGACAATAGGAAGCGAGAAATGATGTAAAAGGTCTTCTTCTTTGCAAAATACTATTGAGTATTTATCTTTCTAAGCACTAGGAGGCAAAAAAAAAAGAAGCTAAAAAGGGAAAATCTATGGAATGTAGGTGAAATTAGTAATATCTTGGGTGCAAATTATTTGGTATAAGCTAATCATTTTTCCCCATCAATTTTTTAAACCTTTGTAATATTGTTTAAAAAGGATTTTTTAAAGGCTAACAGTGGCAGAAAGGTATTGTCAGTGATATCCAATTCAGCTTTAAATATATGGAGGGCTTGTAAATTGTAACTGGTGTACTAAGATGGAGACATTTGTAGTTCAAAATAACAAGGACCTTGACGGTCCGTACCATTCAGACAAATGGACAGTAACTCAATATTTCTTTTTGTTTTCTTTTAAGCGTCTTATAAAGTTCATGTCCATATTGAAGGCAGGTTGTATTAGGTAGGAATAAAGGCTTGGGAGGATGATTTGGGACTTGAACAATATTCAAGCATGTCCAGATCTTGAACATAGAGTGCACAACATTAAGAGAAGGAAAACAAATAAGAAATATAAATCTCCTAACCTCCCCAAGGCTTTCTAGGAATCTTACAAGCAAGTTGTAGTTGATGGAATCTCAGCATTAAAAAGGAAGAAAGAAAGAAATAAATTTTATGACTTACCAGTAACTCTTACCCCATTTTTTATGTAATCCATATATATTACTTAAAAACTGTAAATATCATGTCTAAACTCATGTGTATTATTATTGCAAATTATTTTGAAAAAAAAAATGTTTCAGTCTTACATTTTTGTCGAAATTTATCATATCGAATATTAAAATCCCTATTATGGCTAAAATGGACCATCCTAACAATTCAAAGCAATCCTAACCTAAACTCAATTTCAACTCAGGCTCTAAAGGTTAGAACGTTATATGTTCACCAGTAACCCAGGTCAGCTTGAGCCTTGACTATGTTTAGTTGTAAATACAGCAATACTGGTTTGGGGTAGGATTTTCATTGCAGAAGACTACTAGAAGCTTTGAATTCAATAACATTGATGGGAAAAAAATTGCGATCGTATATTTTACTCATGTTCCTAATTTCCTTCTCTAAGACGACATAAAATTTCCTTTATCGGTTGAATAGAGGGGAAAAAACAATATGTTGGACCAAAATATAATTTGCAAATACACCATCTATAAAACAACAAATTTGGATTTTTTTTTTTTTGGCTAAAGAAAACAAGAAATTTTGTTAAATTGGAAGGAAGGCCCTATTACTAATCTTCCTTTTGGATGTTCATGACGATTAAAAAAATCACGATTTCTTGATACGTAAAAAGAGTACAGAGATTTCGTCATACAGTGATAGCAAATTCAGGAGGAACTTTCCAACACAGATATTCATAATTCTGAACAATTCCAATATTTTCCTAATTAGTATGCTCAGCTCCGTGCTCTACCCAAACAAAAAAAGTTCAATTCCGATGAGCAGTATATCTCAAATTCCATAGATAATCTTCCAATCAGAGAAACAACATTCTCTAAACCTCAAACCTTTTAAAAAAAAAAAAAGAAATTATTATTGTGACTCAAATTTCAAGAAAATCAACTGTATGAACTAACCTACAAATACGAGCCCGTTTGGTTTGATCGAAGGATTTATTCCCTGATTTCAATGATGATTCATAATTCGTGACACTATTTTTTTTTTAAAAAATATACATAAATTAAAAATAATTTTAACCTCATATTTTAATTCATGAACTAAACGAACTCTAAATTAGAGCAACTGATGGAATCAAAAAAGAGAAAAAGGATGACGATGACGACGACGACAATACGTACTGCCAAAGGTGTCGTTTGCCATACAGAGGAAGGTGAGGCCAACGATTCTGAGAATATGAAAAATGTATCGATCCTGAGAGAAGCATAGCCTGGAATCGGCCTCCGTCGGAAGATTCTCGAGGATCCGCCGAGCCAGCGCGCCGGTGTTTCCCGTTACGGCGCTGAACTCCGCCAGAACCACCGTCCCACGAGCCACCACCGCGTACAGAATCGCCATCGCTGAGGACTAGCGAGCTAGATGATCAGATCGCAGAAGAAGAGACTCTCTCTCTCTGTCTACTTCGATCGCTTTCCAAGTCTCATGGAAATGGAAGGTTTTATTTTGTTTTAGACAGCTATTAGGTTTTTGTAATTTTTTTATTGGATTTATTGAAATTTTGGGATTTAAATTGGAGAGAGAGAGGGGGGTATGGAAGGTAATAACAAACATCTTGACGATGGCTGTTTGTCTGTAAATTGTCACCGGCGACTTTAGAGTTTTTTTTTTTTTTTTTTTTTTTAAGTTGTGACTCAAATTATATTATTACAGATGAGATGATGAAGGATAGATTGAGTGAGTTTTTAGGATTTTTTAACTTATTTAATTAAGTTTTAATGGGTTGATTTTAAATTTAACCCATTAAATTAATCTAAAATTTAAAATTAATCCATCCAATTAAAATTTAGATAGATCGATCGAGTTGACATAATAAAAAAATAAATAAATAAAACTAACTAATCATTCAACTAAAAATAAAAAATGTATAAAAAGAAAGCTAACTACTATCATAATATTAGTTTAATAAGACTATAAAATTATCATATAAGTTATAAATCAATATAAAACACAAAATATATGCTAATCAAGTTCAAATATATAAGTTGTAAACAAATAAATAAACAATAAAAAAAACTCATATAACATAAAATATAATAGGTTGAATCAAGCACATAATGTAAAATATGAGATAAAACTATATATTATGAGGTAGAAAAATATTTATTTATATAGATTAATAGATTGGGTAGGTTCGGATTAATTTAGGTTAAGAAAAACTCAATCCAAACCCACCCAATTAATAATCGGGTTAGGTGGGTTGGGTTGAAGTCTTGATCGAGTTGTTCGGGTTCAAATGGGTTGGGTGAGTTAATTGGGTTCATCGGATTTTTTGTTCACTCCTATAATGTTTTATCTCGTAAAAATTTTAATTCAACTTTTTTATTATAATGTTTTTCACTCACATACATAACTCAAGTTATAACTTGAGTTGTATAAATAAACATATCCTAATTTTTTTTTTCAATGAATGGATTCGTATCATGATTCGAATCATGGTTTATGGTTCGCTACAGTATTTTCTCTCATAAAAAATATACGTAAATTGAAAATAATTCTAATATCATAATTCTAATCTATAAACCAAATATCTCCGCATTTAAAAAAAAAAGTGATACCGACTCCACCGCAATATACCACATAGAATAATTCTAGCAAACTAGACACGCAACCTATATAGAAGTGGGGAGACCGCCTTCCAGAACAAGCTGAAAAAGAAGTCATGCTTATAATTAATATACAATTTAGAGAATAACAAGCGCGTGCAAGCACAATAGATTGTGCGCATGAAAACCTTCCATAAAACATGAGTTCAAGAGTCGTGATTTTTGGAAGAGTTAGAAACGGATTTAGTCTCGAATTTAGATAATGCGAACATGAGATATACGGGATTTCAAGTGCTATCTAATAAACATTTTAGATAGATAATTTTGCTTAATAGCCATTCAGAGATAGAGGTATGAAGACCATAACCTTGGTGGCTGGTTATAAAACTCATCACTCAGTTGTGTGGGTAGTGATTTTTAAGGCTCAACAATTGATACATATTAAGGGTCCGTTTAGTTCGTTGATTTGAGTTTTTAATTCGAGTTAATATGTAATTTTATACAAGAATTTTTTACTGTAGTAAAAAAAGTTAGATATGATTATTTTTAAGAATTTTTACTGTAACAAAACTCGAATTATAAACTCGAATTGGTAAAATGAAAGTGGCATAATACTTTAAGAGAGTATTCAAACTACCGGTTACATGATTTTATCTCCATTTAGTTACAATATTATTTGGATATCTAGAATCGGTTGAAGGTCCCTTCATTAAGGCTCCAAATATCAAAATTATCTTATTTAGGACTCGTTTAATTTGTTAATTCGAGTTAAGATGTGACTTTATGTGATAATTTTTTACTGTAATAAAAAAATTAAATGTGACTGTTTCAGAGTACATTTTATTATAGTAAAACTCGAATTAGTAAAATGAACAGAACATTAATATTGTTAATCCCCGAAATTTTATACTGTAAGGATCCCACAACACAACTCAAGGCATGAGAATGTGTGGCCGTTGTGCCACTAAATCCAAAATATTTGGCCACAGTTTATTATTTGTGTCTTATTTAGGTATATGGCAGCTAGTTTTATTTTTTTAATTATTTTCCAATTTTATTCTATCTTTATTATTACATCTAAAACTATCGATCTCTAGCTGCTCATGTTCATGTTCTTCTTCTTCATTATTCCTCATGTTTTATTCTTCTTCCGGTCACAACGTCACCATCGTGAACAATGGAAATCTCCCTCGCAATCTTAAACGATGAAGTACATATAATGTCCGCTATGAAAGGCCTGGGTTTAAAAATTTGAACCGGTAATATGAATCACGATACGACAACATGACTAAAAAATACGCAAATTTTGTGAACGAGTCAATTTCATGTTGGACTTATCTAACCCAAATACGACACAAAACTAGTAAAAAATTAAAAAATACATATATCATTACACATTTTTAATTTTATTATGAACTTGTGGTATCATGATGGTTATACTTAAAATCTTATACTATTATTTGCTTAATTTCAATGGATGTTATTGTATTTTAGTATGTTATGAATTTTAAGTTATTTTTAATATATAAACAACTAAATAAAAGTATACAATTTTCGTGTTAATTTCAGATTTTCGTGTCGTATCAACCTATAAGATAGTCGTGTCGTATTTGTGTTGAGATTTTTAAAAAATTTCGTGTCACGAGTCGTGTTTAAATTGACTGTAAATTAAAAAAAACAATAAAAACACGACACGTGACACGAATTACTACTCTTATTAAAAATGTATTCTTATTATACTATACTACAAAAATATCCACCTTGTGCCCAATAAGGAATATTTTATACCTGATTTACCCTCATAGTTTATTTTCTGAGCATCTTCCTAATTTGGTACGTTTTCATATTAATATTAGGATATTTTCTTTGACCATAAAACTTATTTGACTTTCCTTTTTTCCTCATTTAATATTTTTTCATCAATTCAAACGATTTATTACTGATTTGGTTTTTTGAACTAGAATTTTTCCTCCCATGCTTTTTAAAAAACGATTTTTGTCAGGCTTCCGTTCTTTGCACGTCGTGGCTGATTTTGGCAGGCTTCCCTTCTCTTCTTTTGCTCGTTGTGGCTGATAACTATCGCTACAAGAATTTGAATTTTTTATTATCAAAAATTTGATAACTAAAAGTCTTGTATTTGATAATAAAATATTTTTGTTATTAAAAAATTTTAATAGTAAAAAGTGCGTAACAGAAAATATTAGATACCAAAATTTTAGTAGTAAATAGTTTTTACTATTAAAAAATTTTTTGGTAATAAAATGTATTTGATAGCAAAATATATAATATTCAATGACCAAAAATTTCAGTAACAAAAGGGTTTTAATAGCAAAATGTATGAGCTTTAAGACTCCAAAATTTTAATAGTAAAATATATTTAGTAGCAAAAGTACGCAATTCAGTAACTAAATATTTAGTAATAAAAGGTATTTGGTAGCAAAAGCCATGAGATTTAGAGACTAAATATTTAGTATCAAATTGTATTTGGTAGCGAAATGTATGAGATTCAGTGTCCAAATATTCGGTAGCAAAAGGTATTTAATAATGAAAAACATGAGATTTAAAGACCAAATTTTTAGTAGTAAAATGTATTTGGTAACGAAAAGTACAAGATTCATATATCAAATATTTAGTAGCAAATAACTAATTTATTGCTACCAAATTTTTTTAAGTCACCAAAATTGAGACAAATTTATATACATGTATTTTTTAAAAATATATATATAAAAATAAAATACCAAATATTAATTTAAAAATCTATAAATATTTCAATACATATTAGAATCTAAACAAAATACTAAAATAATCACACTTAAACAAACTCAAACACTTATGCAAATATTGTACTAGTAAAATATTAATATTACAAGAATTAAACGCTCTAACAAACTGAGGCTGGTGGTGGCAATGGCGGAAGATATTCTCTTCTTGGAATGAAAGGTCCAGGATGATCTGATTGTGAATTTATCTGTTGAAGTAGCTTTTGAATAAGCTCATGTTGTTACTTCATTAGAATATTCATATCCGACATACGACGTTTGTTTTCTTAAACTTCATTTTGAAGCTTTTCATATCCTGACCATCTAGATTTGTGAGCTGACGTTTTTCTTAGTACATGACATATGTCACGCTTGAAACCATATTTTTCATACCTCTCACTTGACAAAACTTGAAAGTAAATTTCTTCCTCCGCATCAGAGTCAACTTCTGGCCCCTCTGGTACTTCACTTAAATGAGTATCGCGAATTTTGATCATTTATTCTTGCATTAGGTGAAGTGTTATAAAATTTCAAGTTAGAGTAAAAAAAAAGATACAAAATTAAACAAAATGATAAAGTGTTTAGTAATTCTTACATAATCTTCCTTTGCTCTCTCAGTTGTTCATTCTCATGATTCGCTCTAATGAATATTCTTGAAGACCTCATAGAAATATTGATGCACAATATCTTTCAATTGTGGATGCGCCTCAAAATCTAAATCAAATAGATTCTGAAGAAATATTGGTGCCTAATGTTTGCCGGCTAAACAAATGCAAACAAATATCAAACGTGACTAGAATCAATTAATCATATCAAGTTGTTTGTTCACATTTTGAACACCGAAGTAGGTAGAATCGATTAAAGTCACATTTGATATTTGTTTGCATTTGTTTAACCGGCAGACATTAGGCACCAATATTTCTTCAGGATCTATTTGATTTAGATTTTAAGGCGCATCCACAATTGAAAGACATTGTGCATCAATATTTCTATGAGGTCTTCAAGAATACTCATTGGAGCGAATCACGAGGATGAACAACTGAAAGAGTAAAGGAAGATTATGTAAGAATTACTAAACACTTTATCATTTTGTTTGATATTGTATTTTTTTTTTACTCTAACTTGAAAGTTTATAACACTTCGCCTAATGCAGGAACAAA